TACCATTGGAGGGATAGCTTCTCAAGGGAGTATAGCAGCAGCAGCAGGCAGGCCTATGGCACCACAACAGACTCTGCTGTACAGTGGGGTTTGGAAAGGTCCAAACGAGCGATAGTGGTAGGAGACTTGCTAATTAGGGTCACGGACAGATGTTTCTGTGGCTGCATTTAAAACTCCAAGATGGTGTGTTGCCTCCCTGGTGCCACGGTCAGGGATGTCTCTGAGCAGCTGCATGAAATTCTTAAGCAGGAGGGTGAGCAGAAGTTGTTGTGCACATTAGGATCAACAACCTAGGTAGAAAGAGGGAAAAAGTCCTGTACAGGGAGTTAGGAAAGAGGCTGAAAAGCAGGATCTCAAAGGTAGTAATCTCTGGGTTACTACCAGTGCCATGTGTTAGTGAGGCAAGGAATAGAAAGAAACGACAGATGAATGTATGTGTAAGGACCTGGTGCAGGGGACAGGGTTTCAGATCATTGGGACCTCTTCTGGGACAGGGGTGACCTGTACAAGAGGAACGTTTTGCATGCACACTGGAGGGAAACCAATATCCTTGCAGGGAGGTTTATTAGTGCTACTCAAGGAGGTTTAAACGAGAGTGGCAGGGGGCTGCGAACCAATTCAGCAGATCAGCAAATGGAGGAATTGAGAGGAAGGTAGGACCAGTAAGTCAGAAAAGGCCACGCAGAGACGTGTAAATGAGCACAATGGTACTAATGGGCTGAAGTGTGTTTATTTCAACGCAATGAGTATTATAGGTAAAACAGTTGAGCTTAGAGCCTGGATCAATATATTGGACTATGATGTTGTGGACATTACAAGACTTGATTGAGAGAGGGACAGGACTGGCTGCTCAAAGTTCCAGAGTTTTATTACTTTAAGTTAGAGAGGAAGGTAAAAGAAGTGGAGTTGCATTACTAATCATGGAGAATGTCACATCTGCACCCAGAGACTACATATTGAGGCAATATGGATAGAGCTCAAAAATAAGATGGATGCAATCGCTCTGATAGAATTATACAATAGGCCCCGATGAGCCACCGGGACATTGAGGAACAAATATATAGGCAGATTATGGAAAGATGCAATGACAACAGGGTTGTCGCAGTGGGTGCCTTTAACTTCCCCAGTATTGACTGGGACTCCCTGAGAGCAAGAGGCTTAGACAGGTTAGAATTTGTTAAGTGCATCCAAGAGTTTCTTGAAGCAGTATGTGGATAGCCCAACTACAGAAGGGGCCATACTGGACCTTGTATTGGCTCATGAGCCTGGCCAGGTGATTGACCTTTCAGTGGAAGAGCTTTTTGGAAACAGTGATCACAATGCCTTTAAGTTTAAAGATAGCTATGAATAAGTGTCAGGACCTTGTGGGAAGGTACTAAATTGGGGGAGGGCAAATTACGTTAGTATTCGGCAGGAGCTAGTGAGTGTTAATTGGGAGGAGCTGTTATCGGGTAAGTCCACGTTTGACATGTGGGAGTTGTTTAAAGACATGCTGATGAGAGTTCAGGACTGGCCTTTTCCAGGAAGGAGGAAGGACAAGGATGGCAAGATATTGGACCCTTGAATAACGAGGGAGGTTGTGAATTTAGTCAAAAGTTAACAAAAAGGCATATGTAATCTTTAGGAAGCTAAAATCGGACAGGGCTCGTGAGGAATATAAGGAAAGCAGGAAAAAACTCAAACAGGGAATTCTGAGAACAAGAAGGGGCCATGAAATGACCTTGGCAAGTAGGATTAAAGAGAACTCCCAAGGCTTTTCTTTACATACATTAAAAATAAGAGGATAACTAGGGAGGAGGTAGGACCACTCAAGGATAAAGGAGGGAACTTGTGCTTGAAGACAGAGGATGTGGACAAGACCCTAAATGAGTACTTTGTGTCGGTATTCACCCAAGAGAAGGATACGGACGATAGTGAGATTTGTGTGGGGCTGCTAATATGCTAGGGCATTTTGAGATCAAGAAAGAATTAGTTTTGGGTCTCGAAGAGCATTTGGAACATGGAACAGTACAGCACAGCACCGTACAGGCCCTTCGGCCCATGATGTTGTGCCAAGCTTTTACCTGAAACCTAAGGTCTATCTAACCTCCACCGCTACCCAATACTATCATCCATATGCCTATCTAACTTAAATGCCCCTAATGAGGCCGACTCCACTACCCTCTCCGGCAATGCATTCCATGCCCCTACCACTCTGAGTAAAGAACCTACCGCTGACGGCTCCCCAATATCTACCTTCACTCACTTTAAAACTATGCCCCCTCGTAAAAGCTCCCTCCACCTGAGGAAAAAGTCTCTGGCTGTCTACTCTATCTATACCTCTGATCATTTTGTACACCTCTATCAAGTCACCTCTCATCCTTTGTCGTTCTAAAGAGAAAAGCCCTAACTCTCTCCACCTTTCCTTGTAAGACCTTCCCTCCATTCCAGGCAACATCCTAGTAAATCTCCTCTGCACCTTTTCCAATGCTTCCACATCTTTCCTGTAATGAGGTGACCAGAACTGGACACAATACTCCAGATGTGGCCAAACCAGGCTTTTAAGCTCGATAAGATCCTAGGGTCCAATGGTACAACAACAAAAAAAAAATTACAGCACAGGAACAGGCCCTTCAATTTCCCCCAAACCTGCACCGACATACTGCTCGTCATAACTGAAACCCCCTACCCTTCCAGGGACTGTCCCTCCATTCCCATCCTATTCATATATTTGTCAAGACGCACTTTAAAAGTCACTATAGTATCTGCTTCCACTACCTCCCCTGGCAGCGAGTTCCAGGCACCCACCACCCTTTGTGATTTTTTTTTTGTTTAAAAAAAAAAAAAACTTGCCTCATACATCACCTTTAAACCTTGCCCCTTGCACCTTAAACCCATGGCCCCTGCTAGCTGACTCCTCCACCCTGGGAAAAAGCTTCTGACTGTACAGTCTGTCCATGCTCTTCATAATCTTGTAGACCTCTATCAGGTCGCCCCTCAAACTCCGTTCCAGTGAGAACAACACAAGTTTTTCCAACCTCTCCTCATAGCTAATGCCCACCATACCAGGCAACAACCTGATAAATCTTTTCTGTACCCTCTCCAAAGACCCCACATCCTTCTGGTAGTGTGGCGACCAGAATTGAACACCATATTCCAAATGTGGCCTAACCAAGGTTCTATAAAGCTGTAACATTACCTGCCAATTTTTAAACTCAGTATCCCGGCCGATGAAGGCAACCATGCCATATGCCTTGTTGACTACCTTTTCTACCTGCATTGCCACCTGTGCACCCAGGTCCCTCTGCCAGTCAGTACTCTGAAGGGTTCTGCCATTTACTGTGTATTTTCCATCTGGATTAGACCTTCCAAAATTCATTAGCTTACATTTTTTCGGATTAAGTCTGTCTGCCATCTCTCTGCCCAAGTTACCAACCGATCTATATTTACCTCAGGTTATTGAGAGAGGTAAGAGGGGAGATTGCTGGGGCCTTGACCAATATCTTTGTATCCTCATTAGCCACTGAAAAGGTTCCGTAGGACTGGTGAGTAGCTAATGTTGTTCCTCTGTTCAAGAAGGGAAATTGGGACAATCCAGGAAGCTATGGACAGGCGAGTCTCACATTGGTGGTTGGGAGGCTATTGGACAGAATTCTTAGGATTTACGTGCATTTGGAAATGCATGGCCTAATTAGGGACGGTCATCATGGCTTTGAGTGGGGCCGGTCATGTTTTACTAATTTGATTGAATTTTTTTGAAGAGGTGACAAAAGTGCTTAATGAGGGCAGAGCAGTGGATGTTGTCTACATGGATTTTAGTAAGGCTTTGAAGAAGATCGCTCATGGTAGGCTCATCCAGAAGTTTAACATATGTGGGATCCATGGTGACTTGGATGCATGGATTCCAAATTGGCTAGCCCATAGAAGGCAGAAGGTGGTGGTGAAAGGGTGTTTTTCGGGCTGGAGGTCCGTGACCTACAGGTGTTCTGCAGGGATTCGCACTGGGACCTCTGTTTGTGATATATATAAATGACTTGGATGAAAATGTAGATAGGTGGGTTAGTAAGTTAGCAGACGATACAAAGATCAGTGGAGTTGTGGATTGTGTAGAAAGTTGTCAAAGGATACAGCGGGATATAGATCAGTTGCAGATATGGGTGGAGAAATGGCAGATGGCGTTTAATCTGGGTAAGTATGAGGTGTTGCACTTTGAGAGCAAATGTTAAGGAAATGTATGTAGTTAATAGCAGGACCCTGAACAGCATTGATGTACAGAGGGATCTTGGGGTTCAAGTTCGTAGCTCCCTGAAAGTGGCCACGCAAGTAAATAGGGTGGTAAAGAAGGCATGTAGCATGCTTACCTTTGTTCGTCGGTGAATGGAGTACAAGAGTCCAGATGTCATGTTGCAACTTTATAAGACTTTGGTTAGGTCACACTTAGAGAATTGCGTTAAATTCTGGTTGCCACATTACAGGTAGGATGTGGAGACTTTGGATAGGGTGCAAGAGATGTTTACCAGGATGCTGCCTGAATTAGAGGGTATAAGCTGTTAGGAGAGGTTAGAAAAACTTGGGTTGTTTTTCTTGAGCATCAGAAGCAGAAGGGAGATTTGATAAGAGGCCTATAAAATCATAGGGTTGACAGTGAAAATCTTTTACCCAGAGTTGAAATGTCTAATACTAGGGGGCATGTGTTTAACATGAGAAGGGGAAATTTCAAAGGAGATGTAAAGGTGGGGCAAATTTTTTACACAGTGAGTGATAGGAGTCTGGAGTGCGCTGCCAGGACCGGTGGTGGAGGCAGATATGATTGATGCGTTTAATGGGACTTTTAGGTAAGCATATGAATATGTAAGAAATAAAGCAATATGGACCATGGGCAGGCAGAAGGGATTAGTTTAACTTGGCATCGTGTTCAGTGCATCATTGTGGGCTGAAGGGCCTATTCCTGTGCTGTAGAGTTCTATGTTCTATATGTTGCAGTGCTAATATTTAACAATTTGTTTTCGTTTTACTTGCAGATTTCAGAAACAAGGTCTGAGTTATGGGGACACAGTCACATTTGCTTTGGAACAAGGACCACTCTTATATCTTCGAAACAAGGCTTCATGGGGAAGGTAAAATTGATGGAATATAACCCACTGGTTTTCTTGGCTCTGTACTTTATATCTGATCGTGGGGGGTGGAATGCAATTGGATGTTGTGTTTTAAAGGAACACAATTGCAAATAATATTTCTTTGTTTTGCAATTTGACAGTTTTATGATCTATCTGAGAGTTTTAGAATGGAGGTGGTGGCCAGGTGTTGTTGAGAGGAACTACATTGATAGGCTATTTTATATTTTGAACAGTAGCCCAGAGGAATTAATTTTGTGCTATGTAAGATTTTTCTCAGTTGATTCTTTATTCTTTCACTGAATATGCGTGATGTTGGTAAGGCCAGCATTTGTTGCCCATTCAGAATTGCCCTTGAACTGGTTGGCTTCTTAGGGCATTTCAGAAGGCAGTTGACAATCAACCACATTGCTGAGTCCACTGTCACATATCAGCCAGATGATGTGAGGACAGCAGACTTACTTACCCAAAGGATATTAGTGAACAAGGTGTTGTATTTTACAACAATTGATGAAAGTTTAATCACTCCCATTGCTGAGGTTTGGTTTTGATTCCATATCTATCAATTGAATTAAAATTCCACCAGCTTCCTTGATGGGATTTCAGTCTGTTACCCTGGGCCTCTGAATACACTATTGCTATGTCACTGACTTTCCCCATATTATTTAAATCAGGCAGCTATTGATTTTCCATGTGAATGATCACCACATGAAAATTTAATATGATAGAGAGCGAGAAACTGTGTTGTAATTTGGATACAAGCCAAGATGTTAATTTTAATTCTAGTATGGGGCATTGGCAAACTTTGTTGTATCAGAATCGGTTCATTTCTAGCTTCTAGCTTTTCCAGGTGCTATTTTTCTGAGTCAACCTTGTTGTTCTTTAAATCTGTAATAAAAGATTTTCCTCCCTAAGGACATTAGTTTTCTCTTAATAGTTTTCTAGTACTAGTTATGAACAGTCAGATTTGTTGAATTCAGTTTCACACATGCTACTGATGGATTTGAGCTGATTGTCTTTGTCTTTGACTTTGTCTTTATAAGGCATAGGAGCCTCAAATCTCAAATAGAGATCCTTGGCAAGGGCTATTTTTGTTGAAGTACTGGCTTTGTGATAAGTGTGATTTAATGGTAGTAGAGTTTCACCGTTTCAAATGTTGAAATTTGACTTTATATTCCCAGGCGCGTTTTTTTTTTTCTCCCCAAGAGCTTACGCTAGAGAAATGCATACAACTGCATGATACTCAAGATTTTTTTTTTGGCTACAAATACCTGAACATTTAAATAAAACAAAAAACTGCAGATGATGGAAATCTGAAACAAAAACAGAAATTGCTGGAGGAACTCAGCAGGTCTGGCAGCATCTGTGGAGAGAAGGGTCACTGAAACGTTAACTCTAATTTTATATCTGCAATATTTAAAGGAACTCTGTGCTTAACTTTGTAAAGAATGTCAATGTTGAGCAGTCTCCTCAAGGTGACCAGCAGACAGCTTTAATCACAGTGGCACCTCATTTCATAGCCTTGAAGATTATGTTCAGCCTTTACACACTCAGTTCAAAAATGCCACCAATTCTCTTATCAAGTTGCTTGATTGACTGACTGTGTCTACCAATTCACCAGCAGTTGTCAGCCAAGAGGCAGTGTATTTTTTTTCATGTCAAATGTATGTATCAGTATAAAGTGGTAAATGCCAGGATTCCTGGAAGTGTAGGGCATGTTAGATGGCATGAATATAGCCATTTGGCTATCAAATCCTGACTCTTCTGTCCCCAGCACCTGTTTCTTTTCAAGCTTTGCCACCATGTCATACTCACTGTTCACATTTTCCAGGTAACCATGTTGGTTAGATGGATTTAGGGTTCCCTATCGTGCTATCTTTCTCAGGGCTTCTGACTGCAGTGTTTATATACCACTGAGCAAAGATACGAAAAAGCTGAATTGTAGAAAGACCACTCAAGACATCCCTTCAAATATAATGTGTATTTCATGCTACTAGGTAGTGTCTTTATGGCTTTGAGTATCCTCGAGAAGGGAAAAATGAAAGGGTGACGTATGTAATTGTGGGATTGCATTAATTCTGAATTCAAGAGAGCTTCTGTTTAATTTTTTTTCCCACTCCTATTGCCCAAAAATCATTTCAAAGATTTCTGATTGGTGAATCATTTTGTAGTTAGTGTATGTTTTGAATTTTAAGCCATCTTGTGCAAACTAGTAGAAGTACATTGGCCACATCAGATTTGCACCCATCTTGCATGCCATCTATATGGTAGTCATTAACCGTACAGCTAGATTATTGAAATGATTTAATAAGTTAAGCACATGGAATATGTATATAGCAGGGAAATCTATTTGACTTGGCGTGTTGCTGTGATTTTGGGCTTAAGATACAATGTTACAGCTGGAGGTCTGTGTACATGTTTGGCGTGGTTGAGTTGTAAGTGTGGATTAACTTGATAAGTTGCACTATGTGGTGTGCTTCCAGAACATTTTCAGAATTCTTTTAATATGCACCATCTTCTCCTGGGTCTCTTTCTTGTCTTGAACTGTTGAGCCATCTTTTCAGATATTGATGGATCTCTGTATTTCCTTCTAAGCTTTCTTTTGATTTTTGAACTCTGCCAACTATGAAGTGTGAAGGCACTTTTATACCATTACTCTAACTTATTTGGCAGAATATGAGTTGATCTTCTCTTTGGACCTGCCTTCATCTCAACCTTTTGAACATTGTCACCTATTGAATGAAAGACTATTCAAACCATTATTTTGTTTGTTGGTGGCATGAAAATGGAGGCTGGTAATGAATGGATGCCTGTAAATATTGGAAAAGACCAGATGATCAACAACTTACCTAACGACTAGAATTTCCTTAGTATTCATAAAGGGATCCATCAAATTTCAGCTTTAGCACAGCTGACAGATTTTTTTTTTCCCCAAGAGGAAATAGTATGGATTCAGACTCTAATCCTCACATCAGCACAGTCGTAAGAGTTGCACTTTTGGAATACCATTATCTGGCTGAGGCATTTTCCAAAACATTGTCTGCCTCAGATGAAGTAAAATATCCCGTAACAATATTCCAAGGCAGGCAAGGAGATCTTCTTGCGTCTTGGCCAGTATTTATTCCTTGGTTTATATCATGGAAAACGAATGAACTCATTGTTGTTTCATGAGATCATGTTGCCATTTTGCCTTACATTACAAGAGACTATGCAGTGCGTGCTAAATTTTTGCGCTGTCCCTGCCCCATGAAAAGTGCTGTATAAGTATTAGTTGTTTTGTTCTTTCTATTTGTTACATGAACGGTAAAGAACCTACCTTTTATAATGATCTGTTTGGTTGACATTGATGTACCTTTCTTTTTAGGGTGACTGTTGAGTTCTTCCTCGTCATTACGCAACTGGGATTTTGCTCAGTTTATTTTGTTTTCCTTGCTGCTAACATGAAACAGGTGAGCTATGAGTGAACAGTTAAAATGAAGTCCAACAACTGAAGTTGAAAGAGTTGATTTACTCTGTGTGAAAGCTGAAGACAACTCTTAAGTCATCTTCCAGTTACAAGTTACACAACTTTTTTACTGCTTAGAATGTCAAACTGGTTTGTTACATTTTAAACTTCAGAACTGCCGCTGATGTTTAAGCAGACTATAGAAAGACAGTAATTGTAAAAGAAGAGAGGTTAACCTAAAATTGATGCATATAATAGGTATAATTTGAATCATTTTATTACCTTTTCATTATTTTCTGACCGGAAGCCCCGCGTGACAAAGTAGCATGCACA